GATAATAAATACTTGTATATACTTATAAGTACACTTTCGAAATTAGATAATACATACATTTTTTAATATTGTTAACAAAACACGTAATCGTGATGGTGGAATCTTAGGTTCGACATACGGGTTGATCGCATTTTAAAATCAGACACAATGATATTACATTATTATATTGACGGATGAGGAAAAACGTGTGTGACAGACCATGTCTTTGGAGTTGATAGCTGTACTGATCAATATACGTATCTATAGAGTGTGTATGTATTTGTTGAGAGTCAATTAAAAGAGAATTAATCGAAAAGTTACCCGACATCAAACACATGAACGCAAAATGAAAATAGTAATTAACGAAATCCCCTTTTCAAAGGTCGTTGTTATTATAAAGCCTCAAAAATATCGTAATCGGACACAATAAAAACTATGTTGATAACTGCAGTTAGACCTCCACACTCTCACTTTCTCAAGAATGAAATTAAATTTACTTGAAGTCGCTTTGGACCCATTGTCACTGTGCACGCGTCCGATACGAAAAATCATGCAAAGAAGTATAATACGTATAATACAAGCAAATATTTGTTTTGTCACGCGTTTAAAAAACTGATGGATGGGTGAATGGGTGACATGGCTGCCGGCGACTATAAAACGCTACAAACATCAATATTGTGGATCGTTTTCGATACACGACTCGTTGAGTGAAGAAGTGTTTTATACAACACAAATTGTTTTTAAACATTTTTTTAGGTTTTTTACATCCCCTCGAAGAGAAGTTAGAAGAAAAACAACCCCCGTAAAGCTTACTGTGAACTATCCGTTCAATTTTTGGATGTGTGCGTATGTATTACAGACAACTCGGCATTTTTGTAAAATATAAACCGTTGACTGGAAGTATACGTAGCACCAGTTATAATATATACGTGATCGGAAACACTAAACGACTGAATTTAATCAAAACCCGGAATCCTCAGAAAGTCAGGAGTATAACAATAACTACACACATACCGAGTATTGGACAATTTCGGGAAAGACACTGAATTGTTTTTTTTTTCACGTCCCTTCGATTCACAAAAAATTAACTTTCTTACCCATATAGTGATATCAGAACACCAACATTATAATCGTATTGATCATGATCTACCGGAACACCTTTTTTTTTTTTTTTTTTTAAGATCTGTCGCATGTATAAAATGTTATTTATCATCATTTTTATTTCATTGAATTTTGTCATTCTTTTTTTTTTTTTCAAAGCATTTAAATCATAAAATACAATACTGACGACAGCTGATTTTTAATAACGCAAACTTAATTTAATAATATGAGCAGAATTTTATTTTTTTCTATAACACGAAGTACGATTATAAAAAATAAACGAGATTATTTAGTACACAGTACTACGACGATATTATTTACGTATATAACATAGCTACATGAATATTTTTCTGTTGCTGTAATATTTCCGAAATGGGTTATACGAATAAAAAGTTGTAGTAGTCACTCTATTTATAATGTAATAAGCACAATATTAAAATGAAAAGATGTTTAACTCGGATATTTGTTATTATTAAAAAACATTTGATAATTATATTATAAACATATTAAAAATATACGAGAGAAAAATAATTAAATTAAATTTTCTGTCAATTTTCGTGGCAGCCTTTAAGAGGAGCTTATTTTATTTTATTTTATGCGTGCTTCTACATAATTTACAAATATAAACTTATTTACACGGAATTTTAGTAAATCGTATATCCCATCCGTATAAATAATTTGTTTACGTATTATGCCTTTTTAACTTTCCATAATTACATATAAATTATTGATATATTATCAATTTTCATCGCATAAAATTAATTTTTAATAACTAAAAAATAAAATATTCAACACCCATAAAACTACGTCATAATAATGTGGTGGAACAGAAAATGTTTATCTAAAGTATACCTATTTTATTAATGAAAATATTTAAAATTATTGTCACTAATAAGACTAGCTTAGTTCCGAATGTCCCGATAGCAAATTCAATATCAACGTTTCATTAAAAAAATAATTTGTTCGACTATTTTTTCAATTAAATTCAAAGGGTGAAACATATGTGAAAAATAAAATCAATATCAATTCATCACACAAGTGGTCGTGTAATTTTTTTTTAGTTCTTTTATCATTACTTTAACCATTGGCCAACCAGTTTAAAATAAAATGAAATCGTCTCCAATAATCACTGTCGCATAAACAATGTCATATAAATTACACACGACTTTCTACTCAAACGTTTATAAATAAGAACAAAAACCGTAAAACATTCTTTTGTAATACTTTGCATTTGTATTCTATTCGACAGGATAAGTATGCTCAGCTGGTAGTCGTATCAACTGCGCTAAATATTTATACACTTATTGTACCAACCAAGTTTTATTTTGAATTCTGTACAACGATTGTAAAGCTCTGACTACACTATTTACAAACAGGAATGATGTTATGCGAACTACTTGGCAAACCTTAAATGAAATTCGAGAACGCACTTGTATTTGTATCATCTTCATATAGGTTAAAAGCCACGGAAAACATGAATTCGACACGCACTGAAAAGTTGTACGCGTATTTGTAAAACGTTTATAATATTACAAATGCTAGTCTGGTGTAATATCATCATGTTCTCGTTATGGTCCAAGGTCGTGGGATGTTGCGCAGAGTCGAGAGTAAAATTAATTCAGCGATCTCCGCACCGTTATTATTAACGGCAAACATACTACACGGCACGCCGAACACGGTTTGCTGTACTGTTTTCGATTCGCAATGTTCACATAATAACTGTCATTGTTGTTACGTTATATACCAGTACCGACCATAATACATTTTACTAGCTACGTATTATTATTGTGACGAAGAAACGGAAACGAATACAAATCGAATATAAATGTAATTGTCGTTAATATGTGTATACGAAAACTGGAGGATAAGATTCGATTTTTGATTATTTAAACCTCAAAATCGGAAATAAAAATAGTACTGTATCCGTATTACTCATTGTTCAAAACTGTATAAATTAGTTACTCATTTACTATCAATATAATATTATAAATGTTTAATTACGATCAATTTTAGTCCGATACGTACCATAATTTTGTAGGACAGGTAACTCGGAACGTCGGTGTTATAATTATTTAGTAATTAGTCACTGGCTTTAAATTGAAAATATAACCAAACATTATCAACATAATATACGCGCGTCATATACATACGATATTTAATTACCTATTACTTTTTTCGATTTAATTACAGTTGACGGCAAATTACTTATAAAAACATGTCCTTCTATTCCTTGCACACATTTTAATAATTACTAGAAAACTATTTACGGAGATCTATAACATTTTTTTTTCGTAATAACAAAATAATATATTTTAGAATAAACATAATTTAATTAAAAAGCAAGTACATATATATATATATATATATATATATATATATATGTGGTAGGTAAACAAACACACAAGTATTTTAATATTTTACTATGGTAAATATTTTATTATAAGCGTTTTAACTGAAATATTAGAAAAGCAAATAGAGTTATTTTTAGTCGAAATATAATTCCATTTGCAACAAATATTATTGCTATAGAATTTCTTGAATTAATAGTTATTATTTTGCATATATCTATATAATAATGGTCTTTATATTTGCAACCAAAATCATCTATATAATTATTTTCTGATAATAATGTAATATAAAAAGTAGACAACTTTTTATATTACATTATAACTTATGTTTAAATTTTCATGAAAATATTTTTTTGAAAGTTATTACTTATTATATACTAAAATTTAAAGTTTCAAGAATAAAAATTATTAAAATAAACAGGGTAATTTTTTTGTTGTATAATATAGGTGTCAAGTTTACTTTGTCATTAAGTAATAAGTAGATAATGAATAAATTAATTTGAATTTAATTACAAATTGTTGAATAACAAAAAACTATTTTTAATGGAGACTGTCAGCCTTGTTATTTTATAATAATTTATTTATATTATTATAAGCGATTAATTTTTTTATTAGTATTAAGTAAAAAATAAAATATAATTATATTTTTTTTTAAATACCAGAGAAAAACAAAACAAAATTAAAGAAAATCTGAAATTGTTGCATAAAACCATTATTTAACAAAATTGTAATTGATTTTTTTTTTACACACTAGATACGATAAATTCTTAAAAACGGGATGTCTCATAAAACTAGTTGTATAATTGGGAAAACATTCATAGGTTTTTATTACTAAAATTTAACACGCTCCATAGAAAATTTATTCACTATCAAGTTAACATAATTATTTGAATGTTAATAGCAGAAATATACTTATAAATAGTAAATAGTAGATAAGTGTACATATCAACTACATTATGAACTCATGATAATTACTCTAATTATAATTTATTAACTATCATCGTTATACTCGTATTGTATATATCAGCTATTAACATGTTCATTATCTCTGTATTCTTTGCATTCCAATACTCATTATGTATTCGTTATTAATATTACTCTCTTCAAATTACCTTTCATATTATATTTTATTGTTCTTATGATTATTAATTCAATTTTTGAGATACAATAACATTAAATTTAATATTTAAATCTGAAAAGACAATAATAATAGAGTTATTTTATAACCGAGTAAATGGTTTTAATAGTATGTAAAACAACGAAATATATTATTCAAATTAATTTACATGTTAATAACTTAATAAAAAATTACACCATAACAAGTGAAATAGGTCATACGATAAATATTGTTTTCATTATATTTTTTTCGAAAAACAATGGTAGAGAAAATTATAATAGGTGTTTTAATTGCTCAAGTGTTTATAACGATAATAATTATATGAGAAAAATATACCTGGAATTACAACAATAAGCATATAATAAACCACCGAGTGTTCCCGTTATCCCGTGCTAGATTTAAGATAAAACATGATGACCTGCATTACATACACAAAAATTAAGTATAAAACTCACTTTCTCATATCCTTTAATGACGATCTTCTACTGGAACAAATCGGTACGTCCTTGCCGATCTCCTGTGTGCGCAATACGCTCCGGGTCTTGGCCCGGGCAAAGTCATGCCTTCGACATCTTTTCGAGTTGGACCGATAAACTTGAGACACGGACAACGAGTTAGTGCCATTAACCAGGATGCTAGGCGCGTTCGGAGACGTGGCTGGCGAAACCTGCTGAACTGCCAGCCCGTTGGCTGGACTCACGTTGCCTGAAGATGACGTGGACGTGGCGGACGATATGTAATCGTTGATGTTTAAGAATCCGTGTGAGACGAGCCATTTGTTGATTAGGTCCAATTCAATTTTTCGGAGAAAATAATCCTGACAGTGGTCGGGGTGACTGTCAAGCCATTCCTCGACCACTGATAGTGTGATTTGCGTCATTTCGTCGCCTTTCAACGATTTGACGTCGTACTCTTCATTCTTCCGCATACATCTACATGCACAGCACAACAGTGATTAGGGCTTGGCGTGAAATTTCTGAGGATTAAACATAATATAAAATTATAGTGAGACATTAATTACAGAAATCTATGATAACATATTATTGTATTATATTATGTTAGATTAGATATTGAAAATATCATTAAATTTACAAGTATTTAATACTTAATTTTTGTTTAATTGTATAACTTAAATGAATTTTGGAAGGCAATTAGCTCGTTTATAACATTTTAGGATATTTTAATTATTAGCGGATGTATATAACTTACAATTATATCAACAATATGAGTTATGTTTATTATTTAAATTATTTTTTTGAGCAAAAATCAACACATATTTTATGCATGTGAGTCAAATTAGAACATATTATGGGCTTAGGTTTAATCAGTAAATGTTTTCATGGCAAATGAAAATCTTTAAAAAAAAATATTTAACAATTAAAAAAAAATAAGCAACAATTTAAACTATTTGAGCGATAACCAATCAATCAGATCTCTTTATTAAATATTAAATCTGGTTGACTCTATGATTAACTACTCTGTTATCAACATTTTTCTTGAGTCCTTATAATTACTATTATAACACGGCATCTAGAATAGGCAATTTCACTACACCACTGTCGCTGCATTAATTTTCTCCTATTTGATTAAAAAAGTTTTTTTGAAATTTCATTATATTACGCAATTACGTAAAAATCGATTAAACACTAAAATATCGTAAAACTCTAATGTATAAATACGGTTGATGATCTTAGTTTTAAATTTGATAGCAAGTAAACTATCAAAAATATTAAATCTAACTACACAAAATTAATTATATTGAATAAAATTTGTTATATTATTGCAAATTAAATTTTATAATATTACATATTATATATTATTTTAAAGGGTTTGTGACAATATTTTATGCTGTAAATTGGTCTATAGTGAAAAAAGATTAAAATCTTCTTACATAGCATATATTATATCTATTGCTAATATACACAATCTTAGATATTTAAAATAATGAAATAATTAGTATGATAGATGTGATACATAAAAATAAAATAAACATTAATAAAATTAGCACATCATCAAAAAACCACAAACTTTTATTATTATTTTTTTTTTTTTTTTGATTATTAAATCAATAAAAAAAAACGAACACTCTAACATAATATATTGTTAATATTGCAGTGCAAATTATATGAAAAAGAAGAAAATATTACCCTTTAACCATCTGCATTACTTCTAACTGTATTATACTATATTTATTGTATATGTATCGATTCTCGAATATTTAAAATTCACTTGTTTACATTTCTTGTTCATATTATATTGAAGATATAAACTCTTTTCTATAGATTTAATAAAATATTCAGACTTTAAATGCATTTATATCAAAATGTTTGCTGAGTGACTATTAATTTTTTACAGTAGGATAATATAATATAGATATTAGCGTTCTCAGTGTATTGGCGTGTAGATATAATATAATATATAAATGTGATGGAGTTCAGAGTTTAAAAGACGTCTATTGTTTATATCGTTTTATACCCTACATAGTCGTTACCATATAAGCCTAAACATATTGACAGGTTTGAATTAATCCAATACGAATTTACATAATTGATGAATTACACAAAAACAACATCAAATAGTAACCACTAAATCTAAATATATAATTAAAATGATTAAGTATTTAGTTAAATATGTCATAGATAATTGTTCAAAAATTATCTATGTAATAATATTGATAAGAGTTCATTATTTTACAGCTATCGAAGCTGTTCAAGTGGTGAACTTGAAATCAATCGTTGTTTTTAATGATATATTATACGCATTTTTAACATTAAATAAATGAGTGAATTCAAATAGTATTTCTCAAAACCATAGTGTATACTATTATATTCTATTTATAACGCATAAATATAAGCAATCGTAATAACCAAATAAAAAAATAATAAAATAGTAATAATTACCAACATAAGTAAAAATTTAAACACATTACATTAAACTATATATATTTTTATTTTTAAATATAAGAGTTAACTCTGACATATAGTAGTTTATAACATACATCACATTAATTTACATTATATTTATTTTAATTCAAGATTTCGTCTAAGGTTCTAATAGTTCTGAATTCAGTTTGTACTTTTAAAAATATTTTATATTTTACTTATGTTATGACAACTACAAACTAGAGATTAAAATAATATTTATAAAAGCATCGCATATACTATTTACAAATAATTATAATATTTTGTCATTTATATTATTATTGTATAATTTAAAACTAACCAAAAAATCATATTGTATATACAAAATATTAATTATAATTATAATAGAATATTAATTTTTGATGATAAATATTTTTGAAGTATAACTAAAATAACAAAGTATGATAAGAAATCGTTAAATTACATTTAAATATCCAATTTTATTTAAATTTAACTTTCAAATGTTCATAAAAAATAAATATGGTTTCACACTAAATTTTGTTTCATTCTAGACAGATGTATTTATCATAAATTTTGTATTAAAATTGTGCACTTTAGTATATTATAATTTAGAATATTATGCATTTTTAACAATAAAATAATTTATAAAATTGATACATTTTATCTAAATCTTTATTTCAAATAATTAATAAATAATATGTCTATATTTTTAAATTTGTTAAAGAAAAGTGTATAAATATAGTGTTGTCTTAAACTTTTAAGTTTTTAGACTTCAAAAAAAAATTATCAGTATAAATCGATAAATAATACAAAAAAATTAAAAAAATTCAAATATCTATAAAAATCAGAAAAATATTTTGTTAATCTTATGCACATTTTAGTATATACATTTGGTGAATATTTAAGTTTCTATTTTTATTTTTTTTTAACGAAAAAACTAAATTAATATAAACTAGTATTTTTACGTGTATATTCCTATTTTATCATTATTTTTTTTTTTTTGTTTTGTTTGTTTTTCACGATTCATTTGAAAAATGTTGTGGTTTTTAGTTTTAACCTTTCTTCTTCTGCACTAAAAATCAACTAGATTTAATTTTCTACCGAAAAAAAACCCACAAAGTTTCAGATTGAAACATTTTTAGTAATCCTGAAGGAGACAAAATTACAAATACAAAAAATAAAACTGTAAAACTAATATAATATTTCACTCAGAATCTAAAAATTGTAAAACATATGAAAAACATAATATTTAAAATGTATCGACTGCAATGCAGCAAAATGGCAAAATATGTTGATTCGTACAATCGCATTCAAATGTACACCGTTCCAGTATAAAATATAACACAATAATAACATAGAATACTATGAAAACGGATTTTTAATAAATGCGTCTTGAAATAAATATTATAATATTTAATAAGTTGTACACAACAACTCAATAATATTATCGCGAATCGCAGTTTATCTGCGTCACCTGTCATAGCGTTGTATAATAATAATAATATATTAAATATATAAGTGTAGAATATAATGTGTTACGAACGAAATTATTACATTCAAGTATTATATTTATAACGGAAATAACACAATTTAAAAATTATAAACTTATGCTCTCGAAAGGTAAAATTATATCCGGTCGTTTGAACAGCCACATAACACACATGTAATAATTATAGCAATAAAAAAAATAATAATAATAATAATAATGGGTAGTTCAGAGTAAGTGAATATAGTGAACACCAGAGGTCTCCAACCTACCGCCTGTCCAGCTTTTCAAACCGGCCCGCCAAGTTAACTGATGTTTTAAAAATATTTATTTATCAATGGTATTTCTTAGTAAAAGAAAAATATTAAAACCTTAAAATAAAATAAATGGTTTTACGTTAATTTTTGTCGATTGCCTCATCGATTGCGTTATCTGCATTATCTGTTTAAAGCGACGATCGTTAATCAAAAAATATTCATTTTTCTAAAATCAAAAAATATCTTTTTTTATTCTCAATTTCATTACCTCTCTATTCCTATAAAAAACTTTCACTCACGATGCTTAAGTATATCTCAGATTTGGTCCTCCGTAAAAAAAGGTTGGAGACCCCTGGTGTACACATTACGTGGTTCAAAAAGGTTGTCGAGCAGATCGTTTGTGGTGAAGGGAAAGGGGGTGTAAAGAAGGTCGCCAGCGAGAGAGAGAATCCATTTACGTATACTATACCGGAACCTCCTCCCACCCAGCAGCATTTCCCTTGAAATCTTAACCCCGTTTTTCACGTCGGCTTCCGTTGTACCGTGCGGGCACGCGACTGAATGCTAACGTCACAGTGACGACGAAACAATACTGGTAATAATAATAATAATAATAATAATAATAATAATAATAATTGATATTCAATGCTCGTATCATACGCGTGTTTTCCGTGTATATTATATGCTGTGCTGAAACATCCACCGCCTACGTTCTACACGGTCTTCTTCCTTTGATCGCCGTGGCTCTTAATGCCTTTTTGTCAAAATCTCGAAAACTGCCATCTGACTCGTCCACCGCCCGCAAAACCCTGACGAGCGCGACCTTTAAAGTAAGAGACGGGCGACGGTAATGGTGAATTCAATTTAACTCGCATAATATGTTTTATAATGTCCTCTTCGAAACAAGCTTCTTTTACGGCTGTAGTACCATATACTTAATACTCTGCAACACACGTGTACGAAACTCGCTACGCGCGCACGTCGGTTGATACATAATATGTATATTATTGTGTAACGTTATATTATAACATGTATGTGTACTCCAAAAACTTTTGTGCGCATGCGGCGATCGGTTTACAATTTGTTTTTTTTCGCAGAGGAAAGTATTAAATTGTTTCTTTTGTACAGACTTTAGACAGAATTGTAAATCTGTTTCTGATCGTGGTGACGTCCGATATGATAACGGCCATGAATTCTCGTATCGAAATTCAAATTGTGACATCGAGTCGTAATGTCCGAAAGCAATCAATATACTTGGTTGTCGTGAAGAGAATAGAACTATGCCATTAATTGTGTTTTATACTACAGTTTTTACGTACATTTATTGTTGGTTATATTTATTTACTGATAA